TTTCAAGTCTGGCTTTGTTTGACAGATCGCTTGGGGCCGCGGGCCTTGGGTACTAAGGTAATTACGGTTTCTGATTGGGTTTTCCATTGATTCTTTGGACCTGTGGTTCGTTGGTTTTAGGATCAGGAGAACTGCTGGTGCTCCTCTACTACTACTACTACTACTACTACTACTACTGCTACTACCACTGCTACTAACAATAATAAGAAAAATCACAATAATACTAATACTACTGCTACGACAACGACGACGACGACGATTACAATCTATTGTCGAGTCTGGCACAGTTTAGACCCATGCTTTCGGAACTGCAGCATCCCGAATGTCGAAGTAAGGCCAGCTGGGGTATGAACCTTCGTGGCCAGCGCTTCACAACGCTCTGCGTGGGTGGCGCCTGCCACTTCATAGCTGAGCAAGACCCATGCTGAGCCATAAACCCTGCAAGCCCTAGACCCTGAAGCTACAGCCCTAAACCCAAAACCACGAAGCCCTACTCTTACACCCTAAATCAGTGAAGCCATGACAATGAGGCCCGACACCCTGAGCAGGAGGAGATATGAACACGTACTTAATCTATTATAGGGAACCTGTACAGGGACTACCAGTAGAAACTAAAAACTGTCCAGGCCCCTACACCCCTAAAACCATCGAAATCGCTTCACGTTGCATCTTGGCCTCGCCACTGATGTTAAGGAGTCAGGAACCTAGGGTTCAGGCTCTGTGATTTAATTTGACGTTGGGCCAGATCCCGAAATCTTAAAACCTCACGTTCAGGGGTCCATGACAAGGGTACACTATTAAGGGCCTTATATATCTACATCATCCGTGTTATCCAGCTGTTACTGACAGTATCCACGGTTTAAGGTTTACCCCTAAACCCTAAACCCCTAAACCCCTAGACCCCAAACACCTAAACCCTACCCCTTAACCTTAAAACCCTAAACCCCAAATCTTAAACCTTAGGACTCAGGGCTTCGGGTGCTGAATCGAGGCGGGGCCGCGCGACGCACTGGCGGAGAGAAGCCAAAACCTCAAAGCTGGGAGAAGCCTCGGCGAGTTACAAAATTGGGTTTAGGGTTTTGGGCTTAGGGTTTAGGGTTTAGGGCTTAGGTTTTAGGTTTTTGGGTTTAGGGGTTAGGGCTTAGGTTTTAGGGTTCCAACATTCTTCCTTACTCTTTGCAGGGACTGGGGGAATGGGTTATGGGGACTACTTTAAGGGACTAGCATAGGGATCAGCTCCCCCATTCCCTGCTAAGAAGCAAGCGAAAGTCCGACAATGCCGAGCCCGGATGCCAAAGTTTCAAGAGACAACAGGGTTCCTGTTTAAGTGTGCTGACTCGTTCTTTCGCACTGCCTGCCGTTACCAGCACACACTACAGTTGGCGAGACCGGGTTTAGGTGTAGGGTTTAGAGCTTTAGGGATTTAGTGCTTTTTATGGCTTTACGAGTTTATGGTTTAGTGGTTTTAGGGAGTTAGTGCGCTACATGGTTCTAAAATGTTAATGGTTATGGCCTGGGGCTTTTGACACCAACAGCCAGGGTGCTACTGTCTGATGCTTCCGGGTCAGGGGACCCCAAACCGTGCTTGGAGGTTCATGGGTAGTTACAAGTGCGGTTATAAGTAGGATAACTATAGTTATAACCCTTTTAGGGGACTTGTAACCCTACTTATATCTACCCATGAACCCCTAAACCCTAAACCCTAAACCCTAAACCCTAAACCTTAAACCTCCAAGAGGGAGCCACGAGACCAATCCTCTCAGCCTGAAGAGCCGTAAACCCCTGCAATCCCCCAAGTCCGAACTCCCTGAACCCTAAAACACGCAGGTAGCGGCCTTAAAACAAGATTGAAAAGGGTCGCGGGTGGCATATGAAAGTATAAACAAAACTAGGAAAGGATATTCAAGCTTTAAAACCCTGAAGCCTAAGCCCCAAACCCTAAACCCCCTAAAACCCTAAACAACCGAAACCCTTTTAAACCCTAAACGCTAAACCCTAAACCACCGAAACCCTAAACCCCCGAAACCCCCTAAAACCCTAAACCCTGAATCACCCAAAAAACCCTGAAGCTCGCGAAGCTAAGCCGAAGGGTTCACCAGGTCCCTGGCATGTAGAGCTCGACGCGCTTGGCTGCCGTTGGGGACCTCTGGCCGAAATGTTTTAGGGGGTTTAGGGTTTTAAAGGGTTTCGGTTGTTTAGGGTTTAGGGTTTAGGGTTTTCAAGGGTTTCGGTTGTTTAGGGTTTTAGGGGGTTTAGGGTTTGGGGCTTAGGCTTCAGGGCTTTAGGTTTTAGGGGACTTAGGGTTTTGGGGCTTAGAAATTTTAGAACATGCGAAGATAAGGGGCCCTCACATACGAAAATAGCGGACCCTAGTATGGTACCCTGAATAGTAGGATCCCTAGTGTAAGGACTCCTCAAATAAGGTACCCCGAATTTTCGGAAACTCCCACATGACTTCAGGTTTGAGGTCTTAGAGTTTGGGATTTAGGACCTCCTTAAAGGGTTCCTTAAAGGTATCTATACGGGATCTGTAGGGTTTCTATAAGAGTTCTACAAGGGGGATCATGGGACTTAGTAAGTAAGGTCATAGAGTACCCTAATTGGTGTTATAAGTATAGTTACCCTAATGATAGAGTCCCATGATCCTTTAAGTAGAGTTTGGGATTTCGGATGTAGGGTTGCGGGTCTAGGGATTAGGGATCAGGGTTGAGGGTTTTCGGCTGGGCTCGTCTAGGCTATTTTCGTCTCACATGTTGACATGGCCCTTCAGTTGAGTTAGACTATACTCCTCACTCGAGGTGTGAACCCCGTTAAACCCCTGCTAAACATCCCCGTCCAGCTTCCAAAACCCAAAGAAAAGCCTCATACACACCCAATTCACATCTTTGAACCATAGCTTCCTGACTTTATAGAGTTCCTTGCGGCCTTAGCCCTAAACCTCATGCGGCAATGCGGATCCCGTATGGAACCCGTGCAAGGCCCTGAAACCCTCAATCCTAAACCCTCACTCCTAAACCCGAACTTTTATCCCTTTTCCCTGAAACTCTAAATCCTAGAATCCTAAACCCCGAATTCCTAAACCCAAAGCCCTAAGTCCTACCCCTAAACCCTGAAAACCCTCCACCCTAAGCATCACTTACCGCCCTGACCCCTGCTTGGGGACTTAGTAAGTAGGGTTACCCTAATTGGGGTTATAAGGAGTTAAAAGTACAGTTACCCGAATAATAACCCTAGTTACTAAGTCCCATGATCCTTGAAGTAAACCCTTAGCCCTCAACTCCCTAGATCTCTTTAAGGAACCCTATAGATCCCTTTAAGGAACCCTAGAGATCAACCCCATCACAACCTCGGCAAGTGCGCTTCGTAGCCCCGGAGGAACTCCAGGTGACGCTCCGCGGGCTCCTAAGTTTCAGGCTGGGGCTTGGGATCTCAAAGGATCCCCTTTACAGTAGAAGCCAGAAAGTTGGAACATGGCTTTAGGAGGATTAGTGATAGGATCCTATATACTCTACCTTAAGGGCATGAGGATAATGATGTTCCAACTTTCTGGCTTCTACTGTAAAGGGGATCCTTTAAGGGCTCCTTTCTAGGGGCTTCTCGAAAAGGATCTTGAGAGGGGTCTAGGGTTTGGGAGGGCTTAGGGTTTAGGGTGTAGGAGGGTTTTAGGGTATAGGGTACGGGAGACTTTAGGCTATAGGGTATCTGAGGTTTTAGGGCTTCGGGTGTAGGAGGGTTTAGGGTTTGGGGTGTAGGAGGGTTTAGGGTTTGGGGTTTTTGGGTTTAGATCCTGTGTGGTGTCGGGGCTGGGGTTGCGGCGGTGAGGGCGGAGCGAGGCAGTGTTGCTTTAAGGGTTCCTTTAAGGGATCTATAAGGGTCCTATAGAGGGTTCAGCGGTTTTTTGGTTGTTGCTTGCAAAATTCCATCGCTGGACAGAGAGAATGTGGCGCAAGGGAACTGTAATGATGTTCACCTGCGCAGCCTACCTACCTAATTACTATAAGTCACTGTCTGCAGGCCCTGATCAATTATATCTACAATTGCAAACCGTGGGGCAAGTATGGCGCGGCAAGCTTTTTGAAAGGTAATTTGTCCTAAGATTCAGGATTTGAGGTATGAACGCAGGATGATGCACGAGATAAGGCAGAAACGATACTTGCGCTTGCTATTCCGGAGTGTCAGCCGAGGCTTGCAGGACTTTCAACTCACCAGCACCTGGCGTAATGTAGGAGCCTAAATCATTACCAATACTGTTTTGGGGGTTCCTTATTATAGGAAAAAGATACTACACCCCAAAAACCCTATTCTAATTACCAAAGCCCCTATATTAACCTCAGATTCTGGCTGAGGGTCGCGGATTGAGGGTTTAGGGTGTTGGGTTCAAGGTTGAGATAAGCTTATAGGGTTTAGGGTATAGGAGGATTTAGGGTTCTAGGTGGCGGTGGAGGGTTGTGGGTTTTGGGTGAGTCGTGGAGGATGGACGATGCGCTACAGTGCCTCCACGGCGGGCTCTGGATTTTGAGGATAGCACTCTGGATTTCATAGCCCCTTCGAGCAAAACACAAGATTGTGGTCGGGATCCTCTTGGGGTAATGCCCTACCCTAAGTAACGCACATAGAGAGACTTGTTTTGAAAGCGATGCTGCGCACACTTGCGGCGAACTTTTGCGCCTTGGCAGGCAGCACGTTTTGGACCTTCGGTCCACGCGCCTCGTCACTTCGAAGACCGGTGAAAATGTGTATTTGTATTGTTGGGCTGAGGGTAAGCAGGGTGGGGCTACTTGGATGGCTAGTTACAAGTGGGGTTATAAGTAGGATAAGCATAGCTATAACTTATACTAGGGGACTTTATATAACCCTACTTATAACTACCCACGAACCTCCGAGTAGGATCTCTAAACTCCGCTTCGGATATCCCCGCCCGTGCTCGGAGACGAGCTGCGGGCCCCTTGGAGGCTTCATGGCACATACCAGGTTCCCCAGTCGTGGCGGGCGTAGACGCTGGCCAAGCTCGCCTTGTTGATCATGCAGAAGAGTTCCTAGTTCATTGCTGGGAGTGGATTTAAAAATGTACATGTGTATTCCTTATTGGGTTTAAGTATCCATAAAACTGTAAAATGTGACCCAACTATGACAAAGGTTCGCTCAGGCCGCTGTCCCGGTCGAAGAGCACGTAGATACACTCCAAGCCGAGAAGCGACCTCGAACACGAAACGAAAGGGTCTAAAGGGTTCCTGAAACGGGGGCCTATAAGGGCTCTATGATAAGACGGTTCTATGATGTAGGAGTCTTACAATAATTAGAATAAGGCTTTGGGGGTTGCTGTACTATGATTACGGCAAAGAACACCAGCATAGTATTGGGAAAGACGTCGGCCCCTACATCAGCGGTTCGGATCTAACTCATGCTCCTGGATAAAGGAGTAAACTACAAGCCAGACAGGTAACTTGACGGCGAACGCTCAACTGGCCCTTTCGGCTACAAAACCCTGTATGTTGTGAAGACAGAAATTCTAATGACGAACAGTGTCATGGCTACCCAAAAGAATCCGTGGCAAGAGCACAGCCTCAGTTCTCAAGTGGCTTCGGGATTTACGATTGAGCTCCCAAGGGTCGAGAGATGACATCTATTGCTTTCAGTGTCTGAAGTTTTGAGTTCATGGTTTAGGCTCCCCTTTAAGCCCTCAGCCCTAAAGCCCTCTTAACCTAAAGCCCCCTTAACCCCCTGAACACCCTAAACCCACTAAACCCCCTCCACCCCCTGAACTTCCTAAACCCCCTTAAATACACCCCAAACGCCCAAAACCCCGCAAAACCCCCCAAACCCCTTCAAATCCCTGGAAATCCCTGGAAACCCCTTGAAACCCCTTGAAACCCCCTAAACCCCCGAAACCCCTAACACCCCTGAACCTCAAACACTTAAACACCCTGCACCCTGAACCCTTCAAGCCCCATGCCCTAGACCCTTTAAGCCGTAAGCCCCAAGCCCGTTAAGCCTTAAACCCTTAACCTGCCAGTCAGGTCGAGGTACACCAAGGACAAGACAAGGATCAGTCCTGCAGCAGAAGCGAGAGGAGTGGTAAAAGTAGGACAAGTAGCGAACAGAAATAATACGTAGCATGCAGGAATGGCAGCTAGTAGATGGTACATGGTACAAAAGCATAGAAAATAGATCGACAGCCTTTCAGGCAGTAGGCAGAGATACTAGATAACAGCAGTACTGCCGCTGAAGTAGAAGCCGGATGAGAGACAGCAAGTGTTGCCCTTGATGTTACCCCTACTCGGTTTGAAACCCCACTATGCAGGCCTTATTAAGTAGAATAGGGTTTTGAGGCCCATTATACTATTCGTATTATGAGGAACCCGCAAAATAGAATTGGTAACTTTTGGGTCCCTTCATTGGGTGCCTTTAGTTAATATAACGGCGCTCCTTTAAAGGTGCTACCAGGGGCCTAAAATCACTCGAAAATCGAAGCTAAAAACCCTAGACACCTGCCTCGCTGCCAATGACGCCAGTCGGGCAGGATCAAGAGCCCAATGCCCCCACAGAGGATCAGGAAGTACTCCTTGGGTTTGGCCCGCCCATAAACCCCAAATCTCATATCGAAACCCTAAACCCTAAACACAAAATCCAACCTCAAAACCCTAAACCCTAAGATTTAGGCACGTGTTTTCACAGCCTCGAGTGCCTTCGTCCATCCATCGAACCACGGGATGCATAAACAAATGTAGTCAGAAGATACTTCTGCGATATGAGTCTTCATTCCTTCATGCGCATCATTCTTCGGATATCTGCAATTGCAGGCTTGTCCATGACTATGTACAGCGGGCTAGTTTTCGACCAGTGTTCTACAAGACAGAAGCAAAGCTCTTGCGCAGGTGCTTCTTCATACTTTCTACTGCCCTAAACCCTAAACCCTGAACCTTTGTGTTTCCTTACACACCTCTCAACAGCCTCAGGCGAGATACGGTTCAAGGTGCTATTACGGTGACTCGATTTCATTTTGAGGCTTGAGGTCTACACCATGCCATCCAGAACAGACATTAAAAGCACCACGCCGGCAAAGCTTCGGGGATTCGTGTGTTATGCTATACTACACTATGCTACATTACACCACACTCTACACTACTCCACTACACTATGCTACACTATCACATAGCCCTCAAGCAGCTGAGCAGCAGGACTTCGGGTTTGGGCTTTGCGGGTGTCTGTTTGGATTAGCCCGTCTATAGTAGCGCTTGCAATCTTGCAGAAATTGTAGAACCAATACCCTTCAACCCCAAATCCACCTTATAAAAACTGTGGGATGCGCAAGCCACGCATGAATGCCGACAGGTGACTCGCCAGAGAATCGGACTGAGGAATCTTGCCATCAGCATGATGACAATCATCAGCCTCAACTGACCAAAACGTAATGGCTGACTCTTTATCCTCTACCCAGCTGTCAAATCCGGCTTGGGGTTTTGTTTCGGAGCTTATGGCTGCGAGGTCGCGATGAGGGTTGCGACGCGGCTGAACCTGCGCACTGCACTGTATTCGACAAGCCTTCAGCACGTTCGGCCAGCCCTCAAGCACAAATCCTAACGCTGTTCAGCTGCAACAGCCTACCAATGAAGACACTGAGCCCTCCCCGACGATGGGACCCGATTGAAACGCGAAGGGGTTGGCAGTAGAGAGCTTAGCCTAACACTCTGAACCCTAAACTTGCAGGTCCTGAACCCAAACGAACATCATTGCAGGAGTGTTCCCTGATTCCGCTGTAATGGGATCTAGAAAACCCAACCCAGAACCCTAAAACCACCCTCCAAAACGCAGAACGACCCTTCATCAAAGGATGGTAAGCCCTACACACCAAAAAGACAGAAAAAAAAAACACCTGGAAGCCTCCAAAACTCAATACAGCCGAAAACCATTCAAGCCTACAGCTTTAGAAAAACAACGTTGAAGCCTACTACCTTTAAACAAAACTAAAGCCCAGCGTCAGGTTCGCCATGGCATGCAAACAGTGCCTCGTCGCCATGGATTCTTTAAGGGCTCCTTTAAAGTAAAGGGTACAAGGAGGGCTCATTTAAAGGGCTCTATAAGGGGCTCTACAAGGGTTCCCTTAAAGGGTACTATAAAGGTTCCGCTAAAGGGCTCTATACGGGTTTCTTTAAAGGGCTCCATAAGGCCTCCTTCAAGGGGCACTGTAAGGGTTTAGGGTTCTTAGGGGTTTAGGGCTTTAGGCTTCGGTGCCTTGTCGCCATGCTGAGGATGAAAACTCCCGAGAGAAAGCCCAAGTTGGCTCCCAAGCCGATCCTTGGCAGGGGGATATCAGATATAGTAATGCAGGGTTTAGGGTTGAGGGTTCAGGGTTTCGGGTTTAAGGTTAGGGTTTTAGGGTTTCGCATCCTTGCCAGGAGAACACCCAGGGACTCCGGTTCCCCTTAACTAAGGAATACACTTGAAATCATATCAGGGGTCTTGCGGCAGTTGAAGGTAGGGCCTGTAAGATCTAGCAACCCTGCGGGTTTAGGGTGTGTTTAGGGTCCTTCGCCGGGGGGCATAAGATATGGTGATGCTCAGTGTCTAGGGCCCAGGGTACCACTGACGGGATGTATAGTCATGTTTATAGGGTTTGGGGTTGAGGGTTTTGCGGGTTCCGGTGGGGGTCAAAAACGATGCACGATGGGCTCTGTAGCACAGGTGCCTGCATTGATAGAAATAGGACTCTGGGATGGGCTGTACTGTGTATACATGTGTGCGTATGTATATATATATATATATATATACACATATTATATATATATATATATATATATATATACTATACATGTATATATATATATATGTGTATATAAACAGTGTTTACATATGTGATATGTGCATAGCATATTTATGTATATATATATATATATATACATATATATATATACATATATATATATATATATATATATATATTTCAATCGGGCCCGGGGTTTAGGGCATAGGGCTCAGGGTTGTACGGTTTAGGGCTCTGGATCTGGTGTAACACAGAGGCGTTTATAGTTGGGGCAGGGATCCTTTAAAGAGTTCTTTACAAGGGGATCTGTAAGGATATGGGCGGTGTGCCTCCATGATTAGAACAGGATTTTGAGATGTCTTCTTCTAGGTTGATATAAGGACTATATGGGGATGCTGGGCAAGGGCAGGGTATGTCATGTAAACACCCGATTAATAAACCCCCTTTCTTTCAGGGCCTCAATGCGGGGATCCGCACTATACCCCTATTTACGGTAACGGGGTTCCTTAATCAGGGGTCTACGTTAAGAAGTTAGCGTTCCTCAACAAGAATGCCGAATCCTGCTGTGTAAGTGGTTGCAAAGCGCATCTCTGCAACTCACATCAAGCCCCACAAACAAGCTTCTGGATGAGACCCCCAAACCCTAAACCCTAAACCCTAAAACCCTAAACCCCTAAACCCTAAACCCTAAACCCTAAACCCTAAACCGAGTTGGTTTGGGGGTTGGCTTCCACTTGTAAGTGCGCAGGTCAGGCTGCAGGTTGAGTAGGAGTTCGGGGTTTAAGATCTAGCGCTGGTGTTTAGGGGTTCAAGTTTTGTAGGGATCAGGGTGTAGGGTTTAGGGTATGGGTTTAACAGTCAGGGCGAGGATTTAGGGCCCATTCTTGACTTAGGGCCTACGGTGTGCATAACAAGCTTTCCCATACATCTGGACAAAATCAGCAGCAGGGTTGCAGATGCAGTGTCTTGGCTTAGTTGGAAACTCCCTTCGGTAGCTCTGCCTGGCGCTTGTCCTAGGTCCGAAGCCCGAACCACCGCCCAAAAGCCCTACAAACCCTTCAAGATGCTGAAGGACAGCTCCTTCAGCCCTCAAAACTGAAGCAACGTAAACATTGACCTCCTGCAAGAAACCCTCAAGGTTTTGGCTTTCTTTAACTAATACTACGCTTTTAAGACCCTCGCAAGACTCTACACCCAACCCTCACCCCGAACTCGCCGTGGTCTCTGCAGCCGGAGCAGCATGCCGTCACAGTGCCCCGATGACTTCCAGCCAATCACAGAGCCCGCTGCAGTCGAAGCAAAGAGAACCTCAAGCGGTTTGGGTTTAGGCTTAGAGTGTTTAGTCGCCTCTTTTGCATCCGCCTGACGGCGTTTGGGGTTTAGTCTACAGGTCTTTGGGGTAGAGTTCAGAAATTCAGCGATGAGGAATCTGGGGTTTAGGGCTTACTCCTCAGGGTAATTGGGATCTGAGGTTTTGGGGTTTGCTATTGTTCCCTAAACCCTAAACCCTAAACCCTAAACCCTAAACCCTAAACCCTAAACCCTAAACCCAAACCCTAAACCCCAAACCCTAAACCCTAAACCGGTTTCGGCTTCGGGGCTGCGTCCAGGGTTCAGGGTTTAGTGCCCAGGCTTGGGAGCCACGACCCTGCACCTCGAAATCTGTGCCCTCAACCCTAGACTACTTACCTTTGGTTAGTAGGGAATGGAAGAATGGTAGTAGTAGTAGTAGTAGTAGTAGTAGTAGTAGTAGTAGTAGTAGTAGTAGTAGTAGTAGTAGTAGTAGTAGTAGTAGTAGTAGTAGTAGTAGTAGTTATATTGTACCCCATTCCTCCATTCCCTACTAACCAAAAAGTAAGACTAAGACCGAGGTCGATTGAAGCTGTTTAGCCTAAACAGCCCTAATAGGGCTGCTTGTTCTCGTCAAAATCTTGAGGCCTTGAGAGATGCGGTTGCAAAGTGTTTGCGGTCAGGGTGTGGTGGCGATGGCAGCAAGTGACGTAGATGGTGCAGTGGCAATGCATGAGCGGTATGAGTCCTGCTAAAAAATAGTAGAAGGAGCCATCGTCCTGTGATGTGCATGTCGGGGTGTCTGCATGCCAGCTCTGTCTGTTTCTGCATGCATGTTTGGGTGTCAGCCTGACTGGCTGAACTGGCTGCTTGTACATCTGCCTCTCTGCGTTGCTTGGCTGCATTTCGGTACAGTTGCAGATAGACACAGATAGGGACTGCAATGGAAAGTTCATACCAACTATGTAAACCATGAACCTCGAGCCCTGTCCCTGGTCCTGCCGATGCCTCCACACTTCCATTCGCCTATCCACAGGAGAGAAAACCCCAGGGAAGAACTTCCGGTTCAGGGTTCAGAACCAAGCCAAACACGCCAGCAATGGCCTCCGACACATGCTACAGTTGATGATATAAATCCTGCATGACCCATAATAAGGAATATACCATAATTCCCATAGTTAAGGGTCCTTAAGGGAATGCAGGATTTATATCATCAACCGTAGCACCACCCCGATCGCGTGTTTTTTCGTTTCTTGAAAGTCAGCTCGGGGGCTGCAGAAGCCAAGAGCTGCGACCAGCGGCGAAGGAAGAAGGTCCCGTGCAGCATACCCAGCAAGTTCACCTTCAGGAAATTGGAGTTCAGGTGGTTTAGGGCTTAGGGTTTCGGATCGTGTGTCAGGCACCAGGGTTTAGGATCCGCTGAAACCCTGAACCCTGCACGCTAAAGCCTCACCCTGAACCCTAAGCCCTGAACCCCAAACCCTAAACCCTGAACCATGAATCCCACCTTATCCCTCAAACCTCATACTAGCTGCTGCATTCCCTGGAATCAATGTGAGCCTGTTTTGTCATAGTCGGGTTCTACTAACCCTTAAGAAGGTAGGATCCTTTTTGCACCAACCGCTACACTGACTCCGATTGTGGTTTAGGGTTCAGGGTTTAGGGTTTCAGGGTAGAAGCGAAAGCTGCAGGTTACCTAGTGATTATGCCTTATCCGAAGGCTTGAGCTGGAGCTTGAGCGCCCCGGTGCCTTGGTCATGAAGAACAGAAGCACCGCGACCCCCATTCCCTCGGTGGCCGCCACAGGAATGTGCATCGGGTTACGCGACCTTGCATCAGGCTGGTTGGCGTTTAAGGCTCGAGGGTTTAGAGTCCTAAGACCCCAAGCCGATCCCTAACCCCTGTATCGCCAATCCGAAACTCCAAAAACCCACCAGAATGGTTCACGTGATTGCATGGGTTGAAGGTTTGGCGGGTTTGGGGCTTAGGGGGGTTGGAGTGTAGCGGCTTGGATCTGACACACTTGGAGAGCCGGCTTCTCCACCAGCAGCAGTCTTGAAAGCCAAGCCGAGAAACCCTGGACCCTAAACCCCAAACCCGAGGTGCAGGTGGTTGGAGGGGGGGTTACCCAAAAAGATCCCGTTTATGGGTGTCTGCCAAAGCCCTTTTGCTGCTACAAGGAAGGTCAAAATAATGAGTATAGTATGATGTCCCCTTGGAGTGCCGAGTAAACTATCGATGTCATTATGTGGGTTTGTGTGTGTGCGGGCGTTTACCTATGTACATATATGCATAACTGTACATATACATATAATATATATATATATACACCCCAAAATAGAGCCAAAGTCTAGCTATTGAAGCCGCTACAGCAGCAGCAGCAGCAGTGGATTTGAGAGTACAGTTCTCGTGCAGTGCCAATGCGGCCTTGCGCACAGGCGCTCGTGGGAGTTGAACAACGTGGAGGATTAACAGAGGACCTAGCGACCTAGTAGGTAAGTTACAAAGGTTCAGGGTGTAGCCTATGTTACAAGGGTTTAGGGTTTAGGGGGTATACTTGCGGCAACCCGACTCCTAAACTGAGAACCCATAGAATGCAGCTTGTATACCTGCTACTACTACTGTTGATGATATAAATCCTGCATTACCTTAAGGACCCTTAACTATGGGAATATTGGTATATTCCGTATTGCGGGTCATGCAGGATGTGTATCATCAACCGTAGTATCACCCCAGTAGCACTCAAGGTTTTCTGTTGCCACCTGCAACGGACCTTAACCCATCAAACCCGAACCAATTATCTGGGCAGCCATTCATAAAGCGCATGCCTCCTGAGGAATTATCCAAAAATATCTAAATACTCCAAAGTGCCCATCTGCCTACTGCTTCCTCAGCATCCAGAAACCGAAACCCATAATGGTCCAGGTCTTGCGCCGAACATTCCCAAACCTCCAAACCGCAAAAAAGATCAAATCCTTAAGCCTCGACATCTGCTGCTCGAACACGCATATTCTGTTCTTTGAGATACCATGATAATTAGTGCTTCTACGACACATCCGTTCAAAAACTGCTTCAAAAGCTCGCATGAAGCTCCATACGGAGAAAGCCTGAACCTGAAACCCCACCCCTTAGGGTTCAGCGTTTGAGGGCGTAGCGTGCAGGGTTTGGGGCTTAAGGTCTTCAGGTCTGGGGTTTAGGCTTAGAGGTTTAGAATGCAAGGTTTAGGGTTCAGGGTTCTGGCAAGAAGCAATGCATAGCGCCAAGATATGAAAATGATGCCGAAGGCGACGCAGGTGACGACCAAAGGCAAAACGTCTCTATCGACGCTGATGCGCCTGCGTTTTTTTTAATTTTGGGGCAGGAAGTTCCTTATTCGGAGGATCATGGGACTTAATAAGTAAGGTTATAAGTACCCCAATTGGGGTTACAAGCATAGTTACCTTAATAATAACTCTAGTTACTAAGTCCCATGATCCGTTAAGTAGTCTAGTATACCCCGCAAAGGCTTAAACTTGAGGGTTCCTATTTACTATTTATGCTTGCGGTATGAAGCTTCAAGGTTTGCCGTTGATGGCTGAAACCCAAAACACCCAAGTCTGCTCGACTGGGCAAGCCGCCGTGGCTCATGTGGCAGTTACATTCCATTGCCTAGTTTAGGGTTTAGGATGGTTCACGGTATAGGGAACAACGCGACCCTTCCATGTGCGACTCCTGGCATGGCCTGCTACTAATGTAGGGGCCTACATGATTATGAGTATTATTCTGGGGGTTCCTGAATAACTATAGTATAAGATGCCCCAAACCCCTGTTCTCATTGTTGAAGCCCCTACACTGTAATGTTTTGGCTTGTCTTTATCACTGTTTGAACACTAGCTCGTGCGCCCTCGCGAACATAGGAGCTGCAACTGGTCCCAACCCCTAGGGTTTAGGGTTTAGAGTGCTTGGAAAAACCCACTGAGTTGTGGTTCATTTTGTTTAGGATGCCAGTCCAAGACGTGGGGTTCTTTCATAACATGTAGACTGCACCAGAGCGAGAATTACCCGACACCCCAAACCAGCCTCAACCCCGAAAACTCAAACCAGACACCCGAAACTTCAAATCCTGACAGAACCCAACTATCCTTATAGAACGCTCGGCTCTGCATCCTAAACCCCCAAACCCTGCTAAAACACCACAAGACTCGATAAAGCCCAAAAAAACCTTACAAAAACCTACAAACCCTAAACCCACCCTAAACCCTAAACCCTAAACCCAAGTCCCCAGGGCACCGGGCCTCCAAGAGTACGCACCCATGGCGGAGCCTCGGATGACCTGGTCGACTGGAGGTCGCAATTTGGGGGTTGGAGGGGAGGGTTTAAGGTTTAGGGTCATAAGTAGATTTATAAGCACCCTAAATGGAGTTAACCCTTGCCACTTATATTTCGGCTTGTTTTTTTTTTTCGAGTTTAGGGTTTAGGATTTTGGCATTACTTATAAAACCATAAATAAAGCTCACCTTGTCCAGGATGTAATATCCATCGCGGTCGCGGAGCTTCCAGACGCACTTCCTCACCCCCCCAGCCTCAGGTCTGAACTCTTGGTACCATTGGAGAGCGGAGGGTCTAGGGGTTTAGGGGTTTAGGGGTTTAGCGTTTAGGGGTTTAGGGTTTAGGGGTTTAGGGGTTTAGGGCTTCAGGGGTTTAGGGTTTAGGGGTTTAGGGGTTTAGGGGTTAGGGGTTTAGGGGTTCAGGGGTTTAGGGTTTTCCCCCTTCAGGCAGTGTGTAGATGGATGGATAGACAGAGAGACAGAGAGACAGCTAAACTGATTGATAGATAGATAGGTTCATGTGGCTATACACAGTTCTATTTATCCATCTATCTATCTATGTATCTATGTACCTATCTATCTATCTACCTATCTATCCATATAACCATATATACAGACCTATTTAACTCTCTTATTGGAGAACACCCCCAACCCCAATCTAAGATTTCGGGCGTGCCGGTTTGAGGGCTCAGGTATGCTCAGGGTTAGGGGTCTAATACTTAAAGGGTCAAAGGGACTTAGCGAGTAAGGTTACCTAGGGCAACTATACTCAAAATTACCTCTGACTCTAAACTTGTCCTAAACCCTAAACACTAATCTCTAAGCTAAAGTACGTATAAGCCAAAAGCACAAAAACCCGACGACGTCCCCTGATTCTTGAAGTCGAGCTCTCCAGGGCTTCCCCAGAAACTACTGTTCATGATATAAATCCTGCATTATAATTAAGGACCCTAAACTACGGGAATTATTGTATATTCCTGATCATGGGTCATGCAGGATTTATATTATCAACCGTACATCGTCCCCCACAGCCCGAAGGTGCGTTTGGGGCTCAGGGCTTAGGGTTTCGGGGTCAGGGTTCAGGATTTAGGGTTGGACTTAGAGTTTCGGAAATCATGACTGTAGCCACCAGCATTTAGGATGAAGGGAAGAGGGGGTTTGGTTAAGGTCTTAGGGAAGAGGGGTCTAGGCGTTTAGTCTAGTCTAAACACTGAAGGCTCCTTCTCAGGACTTCTCGGACTGTCCAATACGCCTTAATTGAGGTGGTTCATGACCTTCAGCCCCTATCATCCAGATCTACAGTATACGCCAATGAAGGATCGCAACGTACCTTTTCTAGAGTATACCTTACAGTTTAAGGAGCAAACGGTTAAATCATGGCCTTAAGCCCCCTGGCCCCTTGGGTCTAAGGTACATGTCTTGATCAAGGCGTAATGGGCGTAGTGGGCGTAATCGGGTGGCGTTCCCGTCTCTCGAAAGACTACACGGCCCTCTGGGCAGTTGTCCCTCGCAGTCGGGTCGGGACCGGCAACAGACACACGAGATGCATACCCAAGGGACAATGCAGGCCATGAAGAACATGCCCACACAGAGGCCCACCCCAAGACCAATAAGCAAGCCACTGTAGTCCTCACTAGGTATAGGGGCTTGCTTGCTGCTACCGCTTATTATGATCCTGTCACTGGCAGCTCTCGTCACTTTTGACGGCAACGGCATCGCTTCCAAGTACGAGGATGATGATGATGATGATCACGATGATGATGATGATGATGATGGTGGCGACGAAGATAAAGATTAAGATGACGACGTGCTGTGGCTGGCAGCGCGGACGAACATGATGATAATTTCCATGACGATGGCGTTGATGGTGATCAAGAAGATGATGATGGTGATGAAGACGATACGGGAAGTGTCGATGAGTTTGGTGATGGCGGCAAAGCCATGGGTCATGACACTGATGACAACCGTCGTCAACACTGTCCCTACTACTCAAATGCCCAAAAACTAACTACTGCACATACTTTGTAACCTCTGCCTCTGCCCTGTGGCTCTATGTGGCTTTTGTGGCAATCAGCGCCGTGGCTACCAGTCCTTCATCACGCTGGCCCCGATGCAGCAGCCGTAGGATACACAGAAGCAAACGGCGAAGAAGCCCACAGCACCTGGGCTGTTCGGATGGAAGCAGGGGCGCGCTGCCAACACCCTACTGTTGATGGACAAAATCCTGCATTACCCACTATAAGGAATATACCATAGTTCCCATTGTTTAGAGTCCTTAGGGTCATGCAAGATTTTGTCCATCAGCAGTAGTATTGGGGCCTATACTATTTTGGTGTTTTGCACCCCACACTTGTAACCTGAATGCTTCATCCCTGCCGCGAAACTTTGAAGGTTACCAAGCCCTTGAGAACGTGATAAAAGCATCATAGAGCTGCTCTAGACCTGTGTGCGTTCTCGTAGTTCATGGCGACCCAAAGACTTCGGATTAAGGTTCATAGTTTAGGAGTTACCTTAACCTGCCAAAACCTACCTTTTTTTGTAGGGTCCCTATAAATCCCATATTAGGGTTTATAATAAGAACCTACAAAAAATAGGGTTTGGTAGGTTAAGGTAGGGAATATCGGGAACCGTGTAGATAGTATGCTCAAAGAGTTGGGTGTAGCGTTGCCATAGCTTTTGGCTATTGGCACGATTTCTGAAAATTAGCACTCCAACACTCTTTGGCTGCAAAAATCTGTAAACACCCCAAATCACAACAACCCTAAGCGCCAAACGCCAAAAAACTGAAACCCTTAACAGCGACGCCGGCACGAGAACGGGCGCTCTGGGGTGGCAGGTTGTCAATCGCCGCGCGTATCAGCCTTTCATCCTGGTCCGGCACTTCTTTTGTGCGCGAGTTAGGGTTTGGGGTTTGGGGTTTCCCCTGAGGCCCTAAAGTCGTTCCTTTTTGGGGTTCATATTTCGAATCCTATTAGGTGATCCCCAAAAGGAACTACTTTGGGGCCTATGGGTTTGGGTGGTTGTGGCATACAGTAGAAGCCAGAAAGTTGGAATATCATTGTCGTAACCCCTTTAAGGTAAATTATAGGGGATCCTACCATTAATCCGTATTCCAACTTTCTGGAGTTGACTTTATTGGGGCATGAGGCTTCGGGCGAAGGGTTTCGGATACCTGTTCTTAGCCAGAGGCCACTTGGGCTGGTGCTATGAGACATAGGGCTAGTATAGGGGCCTTAGTAATTAAAATATAGGGTTTGGGGGCCAATTATACCATAATTATAAGAAGGAACCCCCAAAATAGTATTGGTATTTATCTAGGCCGCTATATTAATACAATGCTTTAGCATGGGATTTATGGCTTGGGGCAAAGGATTTCGGAGGACAGGTTGTCGATAGATGATGTTGGCCCTGAGTCCCCTTTTTGGGGAGGCTCTAGGACCCTGCTTGGAGGATCATGGGACTTAGTAAGGAAGGTTCTAAGTACCATAACTGGGGTCATAAGTATGGTTACCCTAACAATAACCCTAGTTACTCCTTTAAGTGCGGATGGGTTTGTTTGGGATTTTGGGAGTTCAGGGTTTCGGGGCGCCAGGTTTGGTGGTGCACCCTATCGAGTTGACCACTCCAGGGTTGTTCAAAACCATAAACTCTGAAGCCTAAAAACCCTAAACCCCAAACCCTAAACCCCAAACCCTAAACCCTAAGTGTGTCCTTGTTCATGGGCAACTCGGGATTGCCACAGCGCGCATTCTTGGAAGATATTGTCCTGAGTGGGTCTTAAAGCCCCCGCCTTACCTTTGGTTCCTTAAAGGGATCCATAGGGTTCCTTAAAGGGATCTATGGAGTTTAGGGTTAATGGTTTACTTACCTTTGGTTAGTAAGGAATGGAGGAAAGGGGTACAAGTATAAATGCCATTCTTGAACTCCCTACTACCCAAAGGTAAGTGAAGGGGGGTTCAGGGTTTAGGAGTTAGGGCTGTGGGTTTAGGGCTTCGGAGTTTAGGATTTTAGGGTTTAGGATTACTACCAGTCTTCCATTCCCTACTAACCAAAGGTAAGTTGCAGAAACCTCCAGTGCTGCTTCGACCTCCCACCTGGATTTACAGTTTCGGGCTTCAGGGATTTAGGGGCGTTTGGGATTTGAGGGTTTTGCGTGTAGGGTTGTGGGGTTTAAATCTAGAGCTTGGTCGTCCAAAGTTTGTAACTTTGCAAAGGCTGTTTGAAAGATCTAAACCCCCACACCCCAAAACCCCCACACCGTCATAGCTCAGCCAAAAAGGACGAATCTTGGATCAAGACTAGCCAAGGGTCGATGTTCCAAGCAGGTATTCCTCGCTCTGCTTCTCAGGTACGATGATGATCGGCAGTCCTGGACTAGGGTTCCAGGGGCTAGAGTTCAGGCTCTACGGGTTCAGAATCTCGAGGATTAGGGTTGAAGGTTAGTATCTGGAGCCCCAGAAGCGTTGATTTTAAACTTCAAAGATCGCAAGGATTTGGGTTTTGCGCGCCTTGCACTCCGCAAATCTTGAACAGGCTTCGAAATGCACCCTAGCCAGCATCCTGGAGACTCACTCTCAAGCCTGAACGTGGGTAATGATTGATGTTCTTACCGGGATTAGTTGTTAGGGCTATTAGTCAGTCTAGGTGTTCGGGATCAACTACTAACGGTAAGGAAGGTGAAATCCCAGACCCTTAACCCCTACACCGGACTCCACTAAACCCTGAACGATAAACCCCCCACTTGAACCTCAAGCCCTGAATCCAAAACCTCCAAGCCCCTAAAACCCCAAACTCTAAACCCCTCAGCCTAACATTAAACCCTAAACCCTAAACCCCAAACCCCAAACTCTAAACCCCAACCCCTAAATTCCTAAACCTGGGCAATGCCCAGGACTTCGAAAACCCCGGTGCCTGCATCTGCGGCGACCTTGATCTCCCAGATGCACCAGAGCCGGCTGTACCTGGGCTTCGGGTTTAGGGTTTAGGGTTTAGGGGTTCAAGGTTTAGGGTGTAGGGTGTAGGGTTTAGCGTTTAGGGTTTAGGGTTTAGGGTTCAGGGTTTAGGGTTTAGGGTTTTAGGGTTTAGGGTTTAGGGTTTTGGTACTTGGAGGTTCAAGGATAGGTAGAAGTAGGGACATAAGTCCCCTAATATGGGTTATAAGTATAGTTATCCTACTTATAAGCCCACTTTTCACTACCCATGGACCAAGTAGGGAATGGGGGAATGGATCCCTAGAGTAGTCCCTCTGTAATCCCAGTAGTATTCCCCATAGCCCGTTCCCCCATTCTCTACTAAGAAGAAGACAGTTGAAAGGACCTTCTTTTGGCTTTAGGGTTCACGGCTAAGGTTCGTTTAGGGCTTAGGTTTGCTTTGTGCTTAATTTCAGGGTGTAGGATTACGTTCGTTTAGGGTTATGGTTGAGGGCGAACCTTAACTCAGCTAGTTCTTATTTATTAGGGCTTTTGGGAATTCAATCGCAAGTTCCATCCCCAAACCGAACGCATAGCAGCGATATGTGCCTATTTTGGCATATTTTGGTGGCCTGAGCCAAACACCTCAATAAGAAGCCAGGTACAAGCCCTGCCCGTTTTCTCTGAGGGCTTCGTTCGGCACGACGAGCAGACGCTGGCAGGCACTGCTGTTGATGACCTGCAATGACACAAAAAACACGGACCTCTGTATGTAGGGACCCAGAAAAGGACCTAAACAAAAACCATAAGGCTGGGATATCCCAGAATCCCCTCTTTAATTAAGACAAGAAGATAGGGATATCCCACCCGAAAGTTTATGTTTGGGTGCTTCTTTGGCTCCTGAGTATGAACATGTGCACCCGAAAAGAACCGTTACGGTCAATAAGAACACATCCCGTGGGTGGGTGTGGCCTGATTGGAATCAAAAACCCCCACCACCTCCCCGTTGAAACATAGGGCTCTACTATATAATTAGAATATGAGTAGGGTTTTGGGGCCCATTATACTATAATTATAACAATGACCCCCCCCAAAAAAATAGTATTGGTAGTTATTTAGGCCCATAGTACGAAGATCCCAAGAGCACTCTGTGTTAGCGCCTCTTCAGCCCCCGAGAGAAGGCCCTTACAGTAGAAGCCCAAAAGTTGGAACTAATGGCTTCAATCCTGAGGAGCAATTTATAAAGAATCCCAGCACTATTTGGCCTCAATCCGGTTTGCAACCCAAAGCCCTAAACCCTAAACCCCAAAACCCTAAACCCTAACCCCCAAAACCCTAAACCCCAAAACCCTAAACCCTAACCCCCAAAACCCTAAACCCCAAAACCCTAAACCCTAACCCCCAAAACCCTAAACCCCAAAACCCTAAACCCTAAACCCCAAAACCCTAAACCCTAACCCCCAAAACCCTAAACCCCAAAACCCTAAACCCTAAACCCTAACCCCCAAAACCCTAAACCCCAAAACCCTAAACCCTAGGTTTACCGTAGACGAACTTCCCGCCTCGGTGAAGGGGCTCTTCAGGATGTCGTTGCCCAACTGCGCGTTGATCTGGTCGGAGGTGCCTTTTGGGTTTAGGGTTTAGGGGTTTAGGGTTTAGGGGTTTAGGGTTTAGGGATTTAGGGTTTAGGGTTTAGGGTTTAGGGGTTTAGGGATTCAGGGTTTCGGGTTTTCGTGGTTTAGGGTTTATGGTTTTAGGGGTTTAGGGTTTAGGGTTGATCTGGTCGGAGGTGCCTCATTCTCCATGCTTAAAGGGTCATGGGACTTGGTAACTAGGGTTATTTTCAGGATAACTATAAATACTTATAACCCCAATTAGGGTACTTATAACCTTACTTACCAAGTCCACTGATCCTCTAAGCATGCGTCGTTGTGAACATCATGTGCTTTACTGCCTTGGTCACCAACACCAGCAGCATCGTTTCATCCGGTGTTGCTCCTGCTACTGTTGCTGCTGCTACTAGTGTAAGTGCTAGTGCTACTGTTGTTGATATAAATCCTGCATTACCTTAAAGGGCCCTAAACTATGGGAATTATGGTATATTCCTTATTATGGGTCATGCAGGATTCCTATCATCAACCGTAGCGCGCTCGTGCCCGTAGTCGTACAACTGCGACTGCTGCTGCTCCTAAGCTCCAAAGCCGAAACTCTGAATCCGAAACTCCCCCAACCCTAAATTCCTAACGCTGAACCCGAAAAGGGAAGGCTACGGGTTTTAACACCGACATGATCAACACAATCATCATGATTAGCAGCGAAGCAGCTACGGTAGCAATAATTAGCACAAATATGTCAAAATGAACACCACGATGGAAAAAGAGCAAGCACGGTCGCACTAACTAGTCCAAAAAATGTGCACTCACGACGAGCACGGGCTGCCGAGCCTTGGAAGTTGGAGAGGAAGCAGATGAAGGCCACCTCCATCTCCCAGGTCTCCTTTTGGGGCTCTTGAGCTTTGGGATTCTTAGTTCATTTAAGGTTCCCTTAAAAGATCCCCAAAAAGCTACTATTTGCTTAAGAACCCCCAAAAATAAAAAAAATATATATATATATATATATTCCTTATGGGGGGTAATATAGGGGTGTTTCTTACGCAAAGAGTAGAAAAAACTCCCTTGAAGGAACCCTCGAGGTTCCTCCTTGAAGGGCTATATCAAGGTTTCAGGGCCTTTGAGGGGGGGGGTTTAGGATTTCGGGCTTGGGGTGCCTAGGGCTTCTTGAAGGCTTCTATGAAGGTTTAGGGTTTAGGGTTTAGGGTTTAGGGTTTAGGAGCTATGAAGACTTGGGGACTTCGGGGTTTCAGAGTTTGGGAACTTCAGGGTTGGGTTGTTTTGAGGATTAGAACCTCTCCGCTTCCAAAACCTCCGTTGCTGTAGACCGGAAACACCCGAATCTGAAGAATCTTTAGGGTTTAGGGTTTAGGGTTTAGGGTTTAGGGTTGAAGACTCTACAGACTAAACGCCGAGATCAAAACGCTAAAGCGTGAAGAAATGCATCGCCCTTTCTCCTGCAGCACATCCTGGAAAAAGTCGCGAGTGTTCTCGACCCAGGCATGAGAAATCATGATGGTCACCTGCCTCGATGTGCGATTTCGGGGGTCCCAGAAACTACATGTACTATCTATTGCAAGTACTACAAGAAGTTACTAGCCGAAGCGAATAGCCTGCCAATAACGATCCTAGTCCAACTCGTTCTCCTGACTTTCAGCACAGAAGCCCCATGCATGAGCACGTGGGGCCTAACTCTCACTTGCGAACACTATACACACCGAGCCGAAACGCTAAAACCTAAACCCTGAAGCGTAACTCTAGACCGACACCCTCAAAGCCTCCGGCAAACAGATAAAAAGAAAGAGAACCTGCTTAAACTTGAACTTCAAGTGCCTTCCAGAGCCAGAAACGCGACAGTAAACTATGAGCCCAGGCATCAGCACACTAAACACTAAACCATAAACTGGAGCTCCACATGGGATGCAAGTATTCTACACAAAAAACCTGCTGCATTCAACTGGTGCAACCTTCATCTAGCTTGCGATACATTAGCTTCCAAGCCACTGCGGGTCGTCCTGGTTCAGCATCAAGGCATACCCCATCTCTGTTCCAGCCGTCGCAGGTTTGACGAAAGTGTTCACGAAGTCATGGACACTGTTCTCCTCGTACCTCTGATAAAATCTGTTACGGTTTGGGGTTTAGGATTTAGGGCTCCCTAGAAGCATGGGCCCTGAACTCGAAACCCTGAGCCCTCGAAGCCCCAAAACCAAACCTGTTTCTTGAAAACGCATAAGCCTCAAAACCCTAAACCCCTCATAGAACCCCTAGAATCTCTTGAAGACCCCGAAGAAAACACAGAAGCCGAAAGCCCTGGGCACCAGTCTGGCTCCATCTGGCAGAGCTCAAAGAGCTCTGCGATCTGATCCTCGGCCCATTCGGGGTTTGCTGATTCGGGGTCAGGGGTGTAGGGCTGAGGGTTTAGAGTTTAGGGTTTTAGGGTTTCTAAAAACGGGTTCCTTCGAAGGTTGTTTTACGGGTTCCTTAGAGGGCGCCTTGGTTAGGCCCCTTAAGGAGGTAAGTCTTCTAGGGAGATTCAGGCCAAGGTGTTGTCGGGATATGTTATATAATCCAACAGCAGGTCAGTCAACAAAATGAAACCCACAACAACAGCAAAGAATCTTTCCGAATGCCCCAATACTTGGCCGTCACCCAAGTCTTGTCGGGCAAGCGCTGTGGTCGAGGTCCACCTTTCCTGGGGCAGGCGTCGGGCATGAGGCTTGATTTTAGCGCTTTGGGTTTGGGGATGTCGTGGGTATCTTGTGGAGGCTGCAAGATTTCAGGTTTAGGCTTTAGGGTTTAAAAAGCAAGAAAAACAAACGCCCAAAACCCCAAACGCTTAAACCCGACGCAAGCCAGAATCTCATTATTCCAACTCAAAGACTTAAATCCTATAGCCGCTCATGAGCTTCGAAGCTTCTCGTCCATGGCCGGGATGGCAATCAAAAGGGTTTAGGGTTTAGGGTAAAAGTCAAGTAACATCTGTTCCTTCTTGGGTTTGCATGCCCATAAAAATGTATACTGTTACCCAACTATGCACTGGCTTCTGGGTTCTTGTTAAGGATGTAGTTTAAGGTACCATAATAAAGAAACCATATTAATCATTATACATCCCTGATATGGTAGCTCAAGTTGAGCTCCTTATAACCCCTAAACTCTAAGCCCTTGTAGGACCCTTAAAGCAGCCCGAAATCATGGTAACTTAAGACTAAATTCCCCTACACCCTAAACCCTTAACCCTGCACCCTACTTAGATAGAACCCAGGCTTCTGTGAAGCTCGGAAAGCTCGGAAGCCCTCCGTGGCGATTTGCACGCGGTCCACGGAAGACCTGTGGAGCAAGGCTTCGCAGGGTTTGGGGCTTGAGGTTTCCTGTGCCGTAAGGGTTCCAGTTAGGGTTTCGGGTGCAGGGTTTTGTGCTAGGGCTTAGGGTTTAGGGTTGAGGGTTTCCTGTCCTCTAAGGGTTCTAGTTAGGGTTGAGGGTTTGGCGCTTAGGGTCTAGATTGGGATACCACAAGGGTTCTGCTTACCAGGGTCCTAGATTCGTCTAGGGCAGGGCGCGGGTTCAGGTTGAGGTTTAGGGCTTAGGGCTCTAAATTCATATCCTCAAAAGCCTAAATCCTAAACTCTAAACCCTAAACCCCCAAGCCCTAGACCCTGCACCCTAAACCCCCTAAACCCTAAATTCATATCCCTAAAAGCCTTAACCCTAAACCCTAAACCCGAAAACCCTAAATTCATATCCCTAAAAGCCTAAACCCCCTCAACCCTAAATTCATATCCCTAGAAGCCTACAAGCCTAAAACGCCCAAAGTGCCGAAGCCCCTCACGGCCTGCAGCGCTTGAAGCTCCCAGCGCAGTGTGGAGCCTCGTCGTTGGACCCGGAGCTGGAGGAGGAGGCGCTACTTTGGCTCGCCCAGGACCTGTGGTCACGATTTATGGTTTGGGGCTTAGGGTTTAGGGGTTCAGGGTTTAGGGCTTAGGGCTTATAGGGTTTAGGGCTTAGGGTTTAGGAGTTTAGGAGTTTAGGGTTTAGGGTTTAGGGCTTAGGGTTTAGGGTTTAGGGTTTAGGGCTTAGGGTGGCTCGCCCAGGACCTGTGGTCTAGTCAGAGGAGAAGGGAATGAATACATACTCTACTATGTATATTCTTTTACGCTTTACTATATTCTATCACATTTAGAGCCTGTTATGTTCGTATTATATATATATATATATATATATACACACACACATAAACGTATGTATATATACATATATGTGTGTGTATGCACAAACATGATCTCGTCTTATAGTATAAGTTGGAAGAGGATTTCGGCTTAGGGTCTGAGTAGTCTGTACAGCGTTCCTGAGGCGTCTCAGAAAGGGGTCTTTGATGGTTTAGGGTTTAGGTTTTAGGGTTTAGGGTTGTAAGGGTTGTAAGGGTTTAGGGTTGTAAGGGTTTAGGGATTAGGGTTTAGGGGGTGGGCTGTAAGGGTTTTATGTAGGGGCCTGACTGGGTTTTTGGAAAATCCTCAGAAGCACTACTGTAGGAACCTGATTAAGAAACCTTGGGCCTTTGTTCGGGCTCCTTGTATGAATCCTACGATATTAGGGGTTTTAGGCCCAGGGGTTATTGGCCCAGGGTTTCTTACTCAGGTTTAAGCCTAAGCTTTCGGTGGTATTTGCGGGTAGGTTGTCACTGATGCACCTCGTCTTAGCCAGGCTTTCGGAGACCAGATCTCCAAAGCCTTACGCTCTGAACACACTAAACCCCCACGCACCCTCAAGTGATGGAAGGCCAAAAGGGGGGTTTAAGATTCTTGGGGTAGGGATTCCTTAATATGAACCCTACTATGGGAACCCTAATCCCTACTAAACCCCCATGGGCTAAAACCCCTTGTGGCCTCCTATGATGAAGCTTCAACAGGCCTCTGAACGTTTCTAGTCTTTGGGCCACCTCGGCTCGTGGTCCAAAATCCCTATGAAGCCCTCTCTGGGTTAATCGTTTGCTCTGTCATTTGATCCTACCCTGAATCACCCCTACAAGACTGCAACTCCCTGTCAAGCAGGGTCGATCCTTACTAAAATTACTAAAACTTCATGGAATTCTGAACCCTCGCAAGCCGTCCCACCTGGATCCATCCGCCCAAAGCCAGAGAAAATGCAGCCCGAAGAAAACTCAGCCCTCTTCTAACTCTTACGGCTTTGGGATATGCGGTCTAGAGAACCCTAAACCCTAAACCCTAAACCCTTAGCCCACAATCAATCAAATCGCGGCGCCCCATGCCCGCCCTTGGCGCCGGCATGTTGTCAACAGACTCACAGTCGGTCTCCCCAGCAGGGCACGGGACGAGCTCATGGTTGCACGCCATGGCTTTAGGGCTGAGGCTTTGGAGTGCAGGGCTCAGGGGTTCAGGGTTTAGGGTTTGGGGTTCAGGGTTTAGGGTTTAGGGTTTAGGGTTCAGGGTTTAGGGTTTAGGGTTTGGGGTTCAGGGTTTAGGGTTTAGGGTTCGGGGTTCAGGGTTTAGGGTTTGGGGTTCAGGGTTTAGGGTTTAGGGTTTAGGGTTCAGGGTTTAGGGTTTAGGGTTTGGGGTTCAGGGTTTAGGGTTTAGGGTTCGGGGTTCAGGGTTTAGGGTTTGGGGTTCAGGGTTTAGGGTTTAGGGTTTAGGGTTCAGGGTTTAGGGTTTAGGGTTTGGGGTTTGGGGTTCAGGGTTTAGGGTTTGGGGTTCAGGGTTTAGGGTTTAGGGTTTGGGGTTCAGGGTTTGGGGTTCAGGCTTGACGATGTAGGGTTCAGGGTTGAAGGCTTCGGGTTTCGGGCTTGGGGTTCGGGGTTTAGGGGCCACACACCGTTGCAAGTCGTCAAAGCACCCAATTGGTTTTGGTTTAGTATTCGGGCAATTCTCTGACGTTTGCGCTAGGTCGCCGGCTCTTCGGGTTTCGAGCAGAGTCTTAACATAAGGGCCTTGATAGTTGGAATAGGGTTTTGGAGTCCATTATACCATAATTATAGTAAGGAACCCAAAAAATGGTATTTATACCATAATTATAGTAAGGAACCCAAAAAAATGGCATAGGTAATGATTTAGGCCTCTATGTTGAGCTTCGGGTTTAAAGGCTCGCCTCCCTCTGAAAGCAAGAGGGCTGCAGGCACGTCGAACAACTCGAGTCTCGCGCCCATGATCCTACACGCAAACCCCTTGAGGCTCTAGGATTCAATATATGGGCCTGAACCGTAAAACTGTGCAATCAGGTTCGGTAGTATATTATACTTTAGAAGCTGCCCCCGCCCTGGCCCCTTCTAAATTATACTGTATATATTTAATCACCCCCTGGGGCTCCAAGGATTGGTACCAGTATATGTGTTTTGGTAAAGGGCTCTTAGAACCAAAATGAGACTATCATTATCATTAATCCCTTGGGGTGCTACTATAGATATAGCTCGAAAAGAGCTTCTATATAAGGAGACTAACGTAAGATGACTAAAGCTTCAGATGTCAAAACCTCGAACATGAGAAGCTGGGCTTGAACTTCGCAGAAGACATGCCCACAGCGACCAAACCTGTGCACACTGTTTTGCAGGGAACGCAAAAAACCATTGACTAAGGGATACGTCGCGGCCTTACTAATAAGCATAAACCTTTTTCATAACCCCTTGGGTTTGTAACACGGGAAATAGATTCCGAAGGAAGCCCAGCAACGGTATGTTCCTTGGAGACGGGATCAAGCCTGTCATCTAAAGCTCTCAACCCACGGTTAAAGAAAAACGCCCGGGATCACCAAACTTGAATTTTTTAAGGGCTTTGACTGCCAGGTTTGGGTTTTGGGTTCAGGGCCATCTTGGGATTTCAGGATTTAGGGTTTAGGGCTTTTGGCGGCAAGTGCGATACCTCATGTCACATGTGGTGCGGAGGTTAGTTGCCAGGGCTCGGAACTGCGGTTTAGGGTTTAGGGTTAGGGAGCAAGGGAAAAGCTGCTAGGGCTGGCACCATCAAGTAGATTTGCGCGAGGTCCTCACGCGTGGGCGGTACTCAAAATGCGCCACCCCAAATCCGACAACCTAAGCCCAAAACTTTACAGTATCAAAGTGCTGAACCATGTGAGTAGGCTTGGGAGTATCTTCTACTCTAGGTATATCGGGCAACGGTGCGGAACACTGTTCCTGAGTAAGCCCAGACCCCTAAACCCTGGTCCTAAGCCCTGAACCCCTCAATCTGCAATCCTCACCTTACGAGGAAGCCTAGACCAATAACCGATGTAAGCGGACGGGGCTACTACCCCGAAATCACAAGGTGATGCTCAACATGACCTAATTTAGGGGCCTTAATAATTAGAAGAGGGTTTTGGGGTACAGTATACTTTAGCCATATTAAGGAACCACATGACCTAATAACATAGGGGCCTTAATGATTAGAATAGGGTTTTGGGCTACGCCATACTATAGCCATTTTAAAGAACCACACCACCATAGTATGGGCAATTTTTTGGCCCCTATATTAGAGTCTGTCGCGGTCTCTGGAATTCTGCCGAAGCCGGTCCAGCTCATGATGTCCCCAGTAGGCCGCCGGATCCAGGAGAACCGGCGATCCCTCCGAAGGGCTCTTCGTTGGGAGTAGGGGCTTTGGGGTTTAGGGTTGAGGTTTTTGGGGTTTAGGATTCAGGGCACCAGGGTTAGGGTTTGAGGCTTAGGCGTTTTCTGTTTAGGGTTTAGGCTTGGGTTTGGGGCCCTTTGAGCTCGATTGGCTGCTTTGGGCTCTAGAGTTAGAGGTTTAGGGTTTAGGGTTTAGGGGTAGGGGGTTTAGAAACGATTTCGGATTGAAAGATGTTCGGGCTTCAGTCTGCAACACTCGATTGTCTCGGCCAGATTTCATGGGATCTTCTCTATTCCTTTGTTGTGGGATTGAGAGGGATGTCAACCTGCAAGACCGTATGAAGCCCCATTCGACAAACCTGTCCAACAGCCCACCCTAAACCGTAAACCTTAAACCCCACACGGCTGCGCCAAATCAAATATTCTTTTGGAGGAGGTCGTGGGGTTTTTGATCTCATCAAGTAAGAAATTTCAGGCTCAGTACTCGGCCCAGGTCTGCAAACCTATGAACCCCACGAGCCTTAAATACTAAACCACCCAGCGAGCCTTGAACACTGAACCTAATGCATTAATTACCAACCCCGGCCCTCTAAACGCTGCCTCAAACCTACGCCCGAAGAGACCCTCACAACCGCAACCCACACCCCGACTTTAATGTAGGAAACTGTTTAAGAAACCTTGGGCCTTTATTAGGGTTCTTTATATGAACCCTACTATGCTGGGGGTTATAGGCCCAGGGTTTCTTAATCAGGTTCCTACATTACCCAAGACATGTAAGAACTCTGCCTCGCTTTGCCAGAAGTTTCCCCGCCAGAAATCCCCATGAAGGAGGCACGGCCTGTGCTGAAGCCACATCGGAGACTCTTCCAGGGTGAGGCTACAATAGGGCTTAGGGTACGGGTTTAGTGTTTAGGGTTTAGGGGATCCGTCTTGTCGGGTGTGCGGCTGCAGATTTACGGCGTATCGCGAGTTTTGGCGACAAAGTTGTTTGGGGTTTAAGGCTTGGGGATGTAATGTGCGCTTGGGTAACTATGTTACGCAGGGTGTAGGCTTGATAAAGGCAGTCTGCGGAATACGCGTTCTGCTGACAGGTTGGTTGGGGTTTAGAGGTACGGCTTGCTGGTTTCCAAGGTCTTAGGGTAATGAGGCCCCCAAATCGTAAACCTACGACAGTTTGATATCTCTGCAGTGCATGTTCTTCTGTCTGGTGCTTAGTAGGGAATGGGGGAATGGATCCAAAGGTAGTCCCTATATAATCCCCAATACAGTAGTAGTCCCTATAATCCATTCCCCCATTCCCTACTGAGAACCAGACAGTCTTAGACCCTAGATTCCGAATCCAAATTTCTAAACCCTTTGACATACCAAAGCCTTTCCCCACCCTGAACTCTAAACCCTGAACCCTAAAGGTTTAGGGTTTAGAGTTAGGGTTTAGGGTTTAGGGCCTAATTAAACCCGAACAAACCCCCTTAACCCTCTAAACCCGAGTTAACAAGCACCTCAGCTCGGCCCCGGCGAAGAGCGGCCGCAGGGACGCGCCCTCGGCTTTGCATGAAGGGTTAGGAACCTCGCGTTCAGGGCTTAGGGCTTTGGGTTTAGGGTATAGGGCTTGAGGTTTAGGGTTTACGGTATCAGGATGTGCAGCAGGTGTCCGGCCAACCCGAGAGAAGAAGCACACATCTCCCTAAACATTTCTACAATAACGAAACACAAAGTGACAGGCCCATTCAGCTCAAAACCCTGAACCCTCCATCCGTAGCCCGAAGCCTAAATCCTAAATCTCGCATCCTAAATCCCAAACCAAATATGAGTGTTTCATGGTTAGCCTTGCGTTAATCACACGGGACTTTTGAAAAAGAGCACTAAGAAACACTCAAACCCTAGATCTGGAACACCCCGAACCCTATGAGCCCTAACTACGGTTGATGATATAAATCCTGCATTACCCAGAATGAGGAATATACCATAATTCCCATAGTTTAGGGTCCTTCAGGTAGTGCAGGATTTATATCATCAACCGTATGTCTGAAACCAAGGGCCACCATAACCCGAAGCTCCCAAAGGCTGCACCCTGCACCCTAAATAAAAGCGACAGCCCGCAACCCTCAGCCGCCGAGCGGCGCAGAGGCGGCGCAGCGCGGGAGTCAGAGGCCCGGCACACATTTCCTGAAATTGATGTTCAGACTCGTTAATGCTTTGGATGCTCGAAGTCTTGTATGGCTTAGGGTCGAGTTTTTACAGCTTTGCCATAGATGCTCTTGTTCTTTTATGGTTTAGGTTAAGACTCTTGAAGTTAGAAGGGGGTGTTGAGCGGGCATAGGAGTGCTAACGAGTCTTAAACTCCTTGGTGTTGAGAAGGTCGGAGAACTTTCATTCTCAGTTAAAGGAAGCTGCACGGTGTTACCGGGGCTCGCGGTTCTTGCTATAGAATCTTTATAAGGGTCTTATAGGGTTCTGAAAGGAGTCAAGAACACTCTCCTTGGTAAGGGTTTGTAAACGAGCTGCACAAGGGTGGCGAGAACATGGATGCTGAGTGAATACGCTCCCCTGAGTATGGTAAGTTAAATTAGGTTCCTTACTCGTAACATGCATGGTTTTTACTGTGGTGCATCTGGGCATGGGAAGCTTTGCGGCGCAAGTCCCCAAGGAAGTAAACCACAACCCCACGCCCTAAGCATGTCTGCATGCAAGTGTGCCTGCATGGATGGACGGAAGGATGTGCGGGTAAGACATGTTGAAGCGCACCTCTGAAGCCAGTCGCCTCGCTTCCACTATACAAGTATA